TTTCACATTCGGATTACCCTTCCAATTTAGGTGGCATCCATGCCTGGGTTTGAATCCCATCGAGGCTACTGAACGTTAAACAGTCTCGACATAGAAACTGTCTTTCACATTAGCTCTGGCTCGCATTTGGCTGTGCCTGACTGATGTAAATGTGAGTTCACGATTATAGCCTGCAATGAGGGATCTAGTAAATTTCCGGAGGACCAGTGAAAAAGGCCTCAAACGGCCGGAAAATACGGAAAGATAATATCTGTGCCCGGTAGATACTGACTTCGGTGGAGTAGGTGGCATTCTTTGCATCCACTAATTGTTACCTGATAGTTAACACTGTTTTTATTAACTTTCCAAAATAAGATTTACCCAGTGTTCATTCTTTTTTATCCGTATGGTTTTCCGCAAATTGCGTATGCCACACAAAAAGAGAATAAGTATGTTTTCTTGTTGTATATCTTGAACAATGCATTTAATATCGTGCTGCTGCCTCGTTTTGCTTCAAAGCAATTGATCTCTTCGTCTCATTCATTACCATGGCACTTGCATCACTGATTGTCCACTGTAACGCTTTCCACCCCATTAGGCTCAAAGTACTTTCTCAGTAGACTCATACGTCACACAGCAATCATTAAAGTGGGATTTGAAGATTTATATCTAGTTGTTCATCCATTCACAATTTTCAGTCAATATTGCCATGTTCACTGATGATCATAGACCAGGATGTTTCTTATGTTATTGTTACCATGGGCGATCCTCAAATTAAAATCCTGACTGAGAACGCCACTTTAGCTTCAAGTTATAGATTCTTCTTTGTTGGCAACTGATTGTCCAACCAAATGCATAGAGGAACAGATGACTTTGTCGTGCTAAATAATTGTTGCTTTTGTTTCTTTCCTTTCACTTGGGTTCAATTTAGCGACATTTGTCAAACTACTGACATATTCCGTTGAAACATCTTATCAGTCAAGTATTAGTTGAGTCATTAGCAGCGGAACAGCAAATCATTGTAATAAAAGTACACAGAGACTCACTTTACGATGACAAGCTGCCATAGCAGTACTTCAAGTAACCAAGAGCTAAAGAACGACTGAGAGTATGGAGCGAATTTAGATTTGACCACATGTTCTCCTTGGTTATTAATTCGTCATGTTAAAAATGTCATTTAATTGATAAATATCCATTATTGTTTTTGGAAACGCGGTGCGTGGTTCTTTCCGCATCCAGGTTCAGTAGCCTCGATGGGATTCGAACCCAGGCATGGATGCCACCTAAATTGGAAGGGTAATCCGAATGTGAAAAGATCAGTGCTATCGGTGTGATCTCGTAGCTTACCTGGTAGAGCGTGCGTTATGCCGAAGCGTAGATGGCATCCATGCATGGGTTCAGATCCCACCGAAGCTATTCACAATCTCGACATGGAAAATACAAATCTGCCAAACAACAATTTGAGCAAAGAAAGTTTGGACTACACTACAATTGTTTATCCTGGTGTAATCAAGAAGGATAGATTCTGTGTTTGTGATAGTGCCACACGACACGAAGGAACTGAGCAAATATAACCGGACCGTATTATATGAGTGAAGTTAAAAAATCACGGAGGTTACTTCGAGCATTTGCGCTTTTGCCATCACCCGCACCTCATCAACACATCATCAGTTACCCTATGAAGAATTCTAATTTTTCATCGGTTTACACGGACAGTCTGGAGAGATCTTTGTGTGTCTAAGTATCTACAATCTACTTTTAACTTTTAGGAACTTCCAACTATGTCATCCATTGTGATTGGATGAGTGGTTGATCAAGGCAAAAAGTTGGTTCAAGATGATACATTTGTAACGGTATATAGAGAACCGGCAGTCGAATTAGACAGGGAACATGGTTGGAATGGGCAGAAGTAAAAACCACTAATACAACGCAATCAGTAAAGTTGCTAATCCGTCTGTGTTTCGTAAATGTGAGTAACCCTTCCCAAGATTTAAATACTGTTGTGTCAAACAGGGGGCGTGTGTTTGTACATTTGCATATGTGTGACTAACTGTTTGAATAGCAAGGATGGTTGATGAACTTTATTCTCCACACTATCCATGTCACTGGTGTTCTTTTGGTTGAATTGAACAAGCTTAAGTGTGCATATATGGGTGCGTTTGACTACCAAATTTGGTAATTCCGGTCACTTGCCTGACATCTCTCGGTTTGGATTCAGAAATGCGGAGCCTAGTGTTGATGCAAACTCCTCGGCGCGAAGGCCCTCCGTGTGTGAGCAAAGGCCGTCACGGAGGGGTTTTGGCGTTATCACAGCCGATGATGTAGACTTTGCTTTTGGCGTAATTTGGGAGAACAACTTTACCGGTTGGTCTGCGTTTTTCTCGCCATTTGTGCTCCGAGATCCTGTGTACATGTTTGTACAATATCTCGGGTAGATTAGATAATCCTTGCAGTTAATTAGATAAATAGAATGGTGTTGGTCCAACGGCTCGGTTCTACGGTGCGCTCATTAAGACACAAGGACGTGGCTGATATGAATTGTATTCCTATGTAAGTTAGGCATTTTCCATTTTCCTCTTTGATACGCCTCCGGACTTGACTTGTTTGTATACTCGTGACTTATTAGTTAGTTTAAGATAATTATCATCTCCATGAAAGCATTGAATTTCCTGTTTTTTCTTGTCGTTCTGTCAATGCAAATTTTACTGATCAGATTGGTTAATAATAAGTTCGTAAAGTATTCCAGTAGATAAGTTGGAAAACGTTGCTCGCAAAGATAGTTCTTTTCGAAATAGCGCATCAGGCGGTGACATATATGAGGCAATCTTTGTACTGATATCTGATTGACTGAATACAGCTTAGTTTATAACGAAGATAGACGTGGGCCAGAGAAACAAGTTAACGTGATAAGGCTAGTCAACGCTAGAGTCGTGGATTGGGTGATAGGAATGGGAAACGGTAAGGTGTAGAGATTAAAATGTTTATGAAATTTGCCAGCTAAGTGAAGACTAGGATAAATTTAATTGAGAGAAACTGTATGCGCTACTGTCTATTCGGAAGCAGAACGAAACTGCTGTATTGTTCTCTTTCGCCTTCATCAGAAGCATTTCAATCGCATTTGAATGAATTTACCCAGTGGACAATTAACGATCTCCAAGGAGTGAAACTCACACCCAAGACCAAGAGTGTCTGGTGCCTCTGAACAATGGAATGAGATACACTAAAAACTGTATATCATTCATGGAACGTGATGTAATCGGGATGGGATAGTGTGTGCAAAAGTAATTGACTGTTAAAAGCGCGGCATATGATACTGATGAAATGTGGGAGTGTGAGGAGTAGGGTAGGTGCTCGGCCCTTAGCACAATCAATCCGCCATCCAGGCCAGGGCAACAGCAGTGTCTGAACAAGCCTATTTTGATAGCATAGTTCAGTATTGTAATTGTGAATTGCAATCGCCTGAGCAGTGATCAAAAGGTACCTTCTTATTTCCTTTGCATAGTGTGAATTATTTTGAAAGCATCCAATTTATTCACAAAATGCCCGCTATCAGTGAGATGACAGAGAATCGAACTGCGGATGCACCTAACCGTTTTCTTGCAGAGGACCTCAGGACAGTGCGTAACAATACGTTTTGACAATATCCTGGTCGTATGTGCAATGCATTGTGCACCTAAAGTGCAGGTTGAAAGTTTCAACGATATAAAACGAAGGGTTTTGACTCCTGGGGCAGCTTATCCTTTGTTTGCTGGAACACTAAGTGCAGAATGGTAGTGAGAATGTAAGGTTGAGATGCGGGGAGCATGCTAGTTACTTTGGACAGGCGTTATTTGAGAAATTCCAAGGCATCGTCACCTTTTGTCCTCTTACCCCCTCCATGTCTCCAGCATTCACTACCGCTAGCCTTATCACATTAGATTACTCCACTTGTTCACCTCTATCATCTGACTGAACTGTAATCAGTCAGTCAAATATCAGTACTATGATCGCCTTATACATGGAACCATCTGATGCGATACTTCTAGAAGAAATTTCTTCGTGAATGGTGCTCTTAACCGCGAATGATTACCTTTTTATAATCGACGCACTAGACTGGACTAGACAGAAAATGGAGATATGTTAGCGTCGCACTGATTAGAAGGAAATCTTTGTAAGCTGAGAGGACATTTTATCTCTTGTTTTAGATGCAAACAACCGCCTTCCATTATTCAACTTTTACTGAACTGTTTCACAAAACACCAGTAGTCCAGCCTTTTCCAGTGGAGCATGTTTGTCCCGGTAATCTCTTCTTCCTTGCTATTTTTCAAGAGAAGGGTACCCAATAAGTCACAATGCCGCCACTTGATCTTGGTTGTTCATTTAACATTTGACCCAAAAGTTATATTGCTATTGTCTCATGGCTGGCTTTAACCGATGTTACTGAGTATCAACGCAGAGCTTCTGCTTTTACAGATTTGTGGCTTTTTTTCTTTGTTGACCGACCCCAATGTTCACCAGTTCCTCTGAATTCTGACCGACTGTTTCAACTTGCCTTTAGTTTTTCCTTCCCACACACCAATTCCGTGACACTCTTGAAGGACTTCAAACTGATATATTGACCCGTCAAATATTTACTATTATACGATGATCTACCATGCGTCTAACCCATCGAACCGTGGATCTGCCCTCACCTCTAAGCATTGAAAACGATTATGGGGAACACTGAATCAAATTGCTACAACCTCTATACACCGAGTTAAGTAAATTTATAATGATAGGCCGATAATGCTCCATTTTGAACAGTCGGTTGCAGGAATCTCAGTATACAAGTATACTGTCACAGTTCACTTTATTCTGTTATTGTGTGACCTTGCCTCTGTCGTCAGTGGACGGAAAACCCGATTAGCTCAAGTCTGATTATAGATCTGTACCGAATACACACTGTTTCGATGTTTTAGCCATACTGTTGCAGCTAATTAATTGGTGACTTGTTTCTGGAATATGACGAAACGTGACCTACTTGAAACAAATTTTGACTAGGATAAATAGTAATAATTTTATGTTAGTCGCCGAGTCTTATTAAATAAGTCATTCGTTGTCCATTATTTCTTTAATGCAAACAGTGACGAATTCGGATTTAAATAATAAGCGTGAAGGCCCATCATAAATCACAGCACATGAGATTAACTACTCTCCGGTGCTCCTTTAGCTTGCATAGGTTATCGGAACAGTGAAAGGCGAGTGAAGATTTGGAAATACACGGCAATGATAAATAACAACGTGTTGTTTCTTCTATTCCTTCAAACGTGAGGTTTTGGATATCCCAGAGACGTTGGTGATACAACTTACAATGGAGTGCTCAAAAGTGACTGGGAAGACAAGACGGAGGGAAACGCTAGGATCTGGTCGGAATCTGAAGAAGGCATACAGTCATTGCTAACCCTTACTCATCACTTTTTTGCCATTGCAAGTGATAGGTGACATGTTGCACGCCAAGATGACCTGAGCAATTCGCATCCATTTGATAACACAAACACGCACGCAAGCAAAAAGAAGTCACGTGCAATTGGTGTTCGAACCAAACCACTGAGTTAACCCTTTGACCATTGTGATAAGCGCTGTCAATGGCAGGCACACAAGTCTGTCATTTACTTCTCCTGCGCGCACGTACATTTGTGTGAGCGCTGCAGGTCGTGGTGATTGATTGTAGTTGTTAGGCTACCATACATCGTACGTAGGCCGAGCTGTACGTGTATGCAACACGGCGTACAACAAGTGAATCTCTCACATATATAAATAAGGCAGAGAACGATCCAAATGCAACTGTGTGCACAATCCCTGCCAAAATTCGATTCGAAAACATGACTGAACCTGTTTACAAGGTGTGTCGTCATGGTTTGAAGAGGGGGTTTTCTGGGACTTCCAATTTATTGTAAGATGAAAATACTATGATCCTTTTTGCGGCGTTTTTAAATAGTTTGAGTGATTCCGGAGTCTCTTCTGTCTCATATTACATGCAGAGCTTTAGTTTATGAAATATTTGTGATTGATGGTATGTACATGATGAGCTTTTGTGTTCTTAAACTATCGAATTGCACTCGGACACTATGGAAAGCTGATTTATAAGTATTGATTTTGGTCTAAATTGGAGGATCAAAGTTAAAATGAGTTGCGATTTATTTGAGCTAGTAGTATAATATATTCACTCAAATCTGTGCTTTATTTAGAAATTACTTTCAGATAGAACGATATAGGTTTTGTTGAGACTGAACCATTTGATTGGTTAATTGAACCACATCATTTCGATGTGACTTGTAAACATGAGGACAAGTTGCTGTAAGAACTACAAAATGTTTAATGTTTCTGTTTATCTACTTATGAGTAGGCAAATGTTTGCCCATTAATTTACCCCATGAATCTCGTTGTTTTCCTTAATATAGCTGGTATATTTCAATTTACGTGGGCGGGGCGAATTGATTCGGCTAACGCTTCACGCCTGTGACATACCGTTCATTGATGAACGCGTAGAATTTCCGGATTGGCCGAAATTGAAAACCACTATACCCGGAGGAAAATTACCTTCGCTCCAAGTTACCAATGCAAATGATGGAAAAGTTACTCACTATGACGAAAGCATGGCTATTGCCCGATGGATTGCGCACAAGTATCATATACTGGGCGAAACGGACGAGGAATTTTATAAGATTGAACGTATGATTGGTAAAGTAAGTTATTCGTATGAAAACCTGTTAGTATTGTCAACCGAATATCAAAAGCCAAGAATTTTGATTATACCCAAAACAGGTTATAACTTGATAAAAAAAGTTTGTTTTTTCTTGAAGTTACGCTGAAATTTAGCTGTTAACTTAAGTCAGGAAAACCTTACATACTATGACATTGTGATGTTCTTTTCACACGCAAAAGAGAATCCACTAGTTTCAGAAAGCTTTCTTTGGATGATCGGAGCAATAAACGCGAACAGAAATGACGAATTTATCTCATTGTGAGAAGAAAAGACTTCATTACAAGCAGTGCTTTACAGATGAAGAAGAGAGTCCTATAGATATTTTCTAAAGGAGGGGTGTGAGGTGATTTTCAAGAAAGGACCGATGTGAGTTTATCCCACTGATGGAGAGATATATTGTCAGACAGATAAATGATATTCCAGAATTTTGCAGTCTTAGAAACAAAGCAAGACTGAAAACTGAGTATGGAAGCTGAATAACAGTTACTACCTACCTTAACAGTGAATCACACAAAGTTTGAGCGTATTTCTTCACGCAAACAACAGACTGACATGTTTCTGTATGACTATACATTTCTACAATTATTAGCTTTTTCTGTGAGATTCAATCAAAAATTAATGGCTGATCAAAAAGCACCATTATTGATTTTTCCATTCTGTTCCAGTGTACGGATTTGGAAAAGGAGTTTTTCAAGGTGTTCATGGGACCACCGGACAAGAAAGAAGATATTCAACAAGAAATTATGAAAGACACTGTTCCGACACTATTGAGTGTAAGTTGATTAAAAGTCTAAAATTCTGTAGGATTATGGTGCTTGTACTTGATCGATCATTTGTTGTCCATGAACAAAGTCAGGTAGGTGATTCAGAAAAACGAACAGTACACAATGATCAATTTTGTATTGAAATTTGATACATACCCTAAGCAAGCGCGAGCATGTTGCATGTCACATGTAGTATGCTCGGGTTAGTGTGTGCGGCAGGCTGTCCCCGTGAACGGATCCACCGGAAAAAACAATGTGGGCGAGACACGGTGTGGGATGGAACTGTCGATAAACAGAAGGTTCTCCTTAGAGAGATTTAACTGACAACGTGAAAGAGAGAAAAACACGGACACCATACAAAATTAAGTGTAGTGAGACTTGAATACGATTCGCACTCAAACAGAATGGCAAGTTGCCAAGGTGGTTACATACATAAGTCAGAATAAACAGTGACTTTTTGATGATATTTCCGGTTGATTTAGAGGAGCAAATTCAGCCGAGTTGTTTACAAACATTGATACGTTTCCGTTTAACATTCTTATCATTAACAGTGTTAGTGAAGTTACGTATTTTCCTTTACCCTTTACCCATACAAACTTTCAAAGTAGTTTGAGAAGGGAATTTTATGTAGTCGGATAGACCGTCAGTTTGAACCTATGTATAGGATAGATCTTTTGACAATATGGTTTCAGATTATTTCTTTTTACATCGTTGGTATTCACATGAGCGTTTTCAATAGCGGTCTTCAAATGTAGTATCTGGGGCAGTGCCCAAAATTTCGGAAAGTTTATTGCGTATGACCCAATTAAGGGGTTATCTTTTGCTCTCTGTAGCCAAAATGCCCTTATGCACTTGAGATCAAATGGTTTCCCGTTCCGATTTGTTTCATTTCTTTGTTTCACCAGTCCATTTCTACGGCTCTCGAAGAATCCGGAGGACGGTTTGTGGCTGGTGACAAACCCACACTTGGTGACTTGTTTTTGATGGTCACCATAGATCACGTGCTCAAAGCTGACCCATTGTTACTTCAGGAGAAATACAAATCACTTTTTGAAAACCGAGATCAAGTTTTAGCCAAACTTCCAAAACTGCGCAATTATGTTGACACACGACCAGACACGGCCTTTTGAAAGGAAGCCCATCGAGCGTTTCGTGTGTTTTTGCCTCATACATAACTATCATTAATGAAATCCTTTTGTATTTTCAATTGACCTACATAAATTCAAGTATTGGTTTTATTCACAAGCAATGTGTCATTGGTTCACTTACTTGTATTTGTTGAGGAGAGGTCTCAAACACGGAAGTCTCAGTCGTTACCGTAGCTAACCTTCACCACAACAATTTGTATTTCATTTCATGTGAAGGATGCGCATCGATTAGCTTCTCTTTAGATCATGTCTTCCGGCGGTGTCCTCGAAGATAGCGGGGTCAGAACTAATTGGTTTCAATTAGCAACCTTTAAAGATCATAAGAATCCTGCATACTCCATTTTGCCTGTTCCCCGAGCTTGAAAATTTGTTTGCAAACGTTTCATCCCAGCCGGGGTGATGTTGTCAATTCTGGTGTTGGTGAAACGTTTGCAAACAAATTGGCAAGCTCGGCGAACAGGCAAAATGGAATGCAGTTCGCGCGAGCTAGGAGAACTGATTTTCAATACTTTGTCAGTACTGCATACTGTTCGACAACAAAATCCGTAAGAACAGCTAATTATCCTGGGAATTCATTTTTCACGTGTGGTTTGTAAAATATCGGATTAGGCACCAAATCAAATATGCACCTATTGCAGTCCACTGTTCAAGATGGGATTCGATGGAACATTTTGGTGATTTTCTTGAAAGCGTCCAAAAAACAGTGGATTAATAAATGGCAATTAGATTGTATCATGAGAGACCGGAATCAAACGGAATTTTTCTGACAGTGATTAAGCAAAGAGACAGAAGGTTCTTGTTTCTATCTATCTATCTATCTATCTATCTATCTATCTATCTATCTATCTATCTGTCGATCTATTTGTTAATCTTTCTATCTATCTAGTTTCCCACTACTATACATCCATTGCCACCTTGAAGGTTTGAACATCAGTGAAGTTGACCACTTCTGTGGTTGACCTGTGTGAGAAGCAGTGGGCTCGGACATCTAGCCTAGCGTGATGTTACTGAAGCTCAAGGCTACGGGCCCTCGTGCTTCAAGCACGAGAAGTAGTAAACAAATCGTATCTGTGGGGCCTTGATAGACCTCGTACAAAAGTCTCTGTTAGGTCATCCTCTCACTTGTCGACGTTCCAGCGAGAAGAAATTCCCAACCCATAATCAATGTTCATATCCCATAACGTTCTTTCTGAATGCCCAATTAAATTAGGATTCAATGAAATAGCCATGATTGCACCGCAACATTGAGGACGTTTGGGGATTTAGGATTATCAAATTCACAAGGTTAAATCATCGCAAAGCTAAGATCAGTTGTATCAAGTGCAACCTAAGCATATTCATATAGAGCCATCCTCTTCCGGTAACTTATAATTGAGCAAGAAAAAGCGTGCAACGTGAGTAGGGATCACACTACTCCAGAGATTGGGCGTTTGTGTTGGACCTCCACCGCATAAAATTATCCATTATGGCATACCGTGGTAGTCCTTTGATTGTCTTTCTCTGCTCCATTTTGAAAATTCGTCATAAAATTGTCTATTCAGAAGAAGTAAATAATGATGGATATTCATGTTTAATCCCTAGTTACTCATGAGTAGGTGGTGGCGTTGTAATATTTTTGCTCATAAAAACTTAGACTTGAGAATGAAAATTTAAAATTATCTAGGAGACTTATTAAAGTATTGGGACGAAGATCAATGCCATTGGTCTTAAGATGAACCCGACTTCACACTTTCTAATTCTGTGAACAAAATCAAACAATTTTATAATACATTCGACCCAAATTAAGGTCATCGCGGATCAATATTAATCTCGCGGAGATAAATCGATAATTTTGAGTCGTATAACAATATTCACTCTCTCCGTCCGTCTGGTCCGTAGCCTATGGCCGGTTGGATATTGCTCACTGTGTATTTCATTGGTACATTCGTTTTCTTGCATTGATCAGTGCTATTTTTAGTCAGATATAAGAAGCAGAGTAAAACTTGTAAATTGACTGGTGACTAGTGATTTGTTCTCAACGCCCTTAAAATCTTATACTACTGAAGCCGTGTCTTCTCTTGCATGCTTTGGGAGACCTGAGAGGTCGATAGTCAACCGTGCGTTCTGTGTTTCGCCTAGGTAGCCTCCGCTCCTAGAACTATCATCCGCTAACGGACTTAATGCAAGTCCGCTTTTCTCGTTTCCCGTGTGCTACTATTGTTACTGTGCTATATCTTGTGTTCTTTGCACTTATGGTGTTCTCCTGTGATATAATACTGTGCGACCTATTAGTGGGCAACGGATATACTTGGAGTAAAACATAATAATTTGGTGACACAACACAGGGTTTGTTTGTCTAAACATGCACCACAAACAGATCTGATAGTCTGCTATACTTTTAACTGGTTCTATTAGGCGGTGTATCGCGCTTCGCTTCGAGATGCTGGACGAAGTTTTCGCCAGTTTTGACAGTTGTAATCCGCACAAACCGCCTGATAGGGGGTTCACAGTCTGAATCCGGGACGTGTGGGGATGTGTACTACTGATAAAGTCTAACAAGTGCAAACCTGTAGTATTCGGAATTGGAATCGAATAGCGTGAACACGGACTGTCTGAAGACCTACTAAGTAGCGCAACGTCAGGTAGAACCAAGACAAGCTCTGGATAAAGTTAGTTCAATTCGGAAAATCATGCAAATAAATATCACAAGCATCCAACAATCATTGGTCCATTCCTCAATGCCCAATCGACAACGATATCGTTCATTTGGTTGCCTTCTTGCATTCAGTCAATCCGTTTGGTGCCACTTGAGACCAAAGGATTGGTCGGCAAATCCCTTTTCTTGATTGGTTACCTGGAAACTGCACCGGGGTGTGTGCGTACTCATTGCACGATCACCACAAAAGCTCAAGTCTATGTTTCTTTTTGAACCTGTCGCTGACTCTTTTGTCAGAAGGTGAAATTTGAAATACTCTCTCCCGAATTCAGTTAAAGGTTTAACATAGGATGAAATCCAAATTTTCGGTGAGGATTCAGACTTACCTCGACAGCTTAAAGTGCACACTAAGTGATAGTAATAAGAGTTGATTGCTTTTGGATAAACTGTCATTTGTAGCAAGATTCATTACGTATTATTAATGCGTTAATAATCTGAGTTTACGTAAGCAAGCAGGCGAACAAACTGTTATTGCCGGATTTACCTTCTCGCATTTAACATCTACAGAAATTCTGACGTTCTTCCATCTTGCTAGAATTATCGCAAAGCGATAGCGTCTTTCTTCTAAAGTCCCTTGGTGGTTTAATGTATTACTCGTATTAATGTCTTCTTTTGATGAGGTGATGAGTAAAGTTTGACCGAAATACCGGCATCTGTTTGTGCAAAAGTCCATGCAAATGTCAACTGAAATCAATTGACAAACCAACCAACCGTCCACAAACGCACAAACCATAACTTATCCGAACAATGACCTTGATTGCAACCAATGATTAGGAATTACAAAAAATAATGTTTTGATCTGTGACGCACTTTCTCACCATACCAATACGCGGAAATTTGCTACTCTTGAACGTCAGTTTATCCCATCAACTACATCCAGCGTTTCCACAACCTAACCGGAACAATATACATGTTACTAACTATTCGCGTTTTTGATTCAATCTAGTAAAATTCTTGGTCCCAGTTCGGCAAACTCCGTCCAATGGGTTGATCTAAATTGAAACTGACACCATTTTGAAAAGAATTAACCCGCGTTAAAGGAAATCAATAAAAATGCTTGGAAAATTTGGTATTGAATTGGTTGAAGCTACAAAGAGAGCTTCAAAGCGATACTTTAGACTGTAAATCAGTTTACTTCAGCTTTCTCTCACGAGAGCTTGAGCCAGCTTTATGAA